TGAGCAGCTTTACCAGGCACTACCTTGCTCTTACTTGAGGAGTATTTTTTTTTTTTCAAGACAGAGTCTCAAAAAAATATACCCCTATCACCCAGCCTAGCCTGGAATGCAGTAGTGCAATCTCAGCTCACTACAACCTCCACGTCCCAGGTGTTTGCGATTCTTCTGCCTCAGCCTCCTGAGTAGCTGAGATTATAGGCACCTGCCACCATGCCTGGCTAATTTTTGTATTTTTAGTAGAAACAGGATTTTACCATGTGCCCAGGTTGGTCTTAAACTCCTGATCTCAAGTGATCAGCCTGCCTTGGCCTCTCAAAGTGCTGGGATTACACGTGTGAGCCACAACACCCATCTGGGAATCTTTTTATATAATAAAAATAAACATCTTGCTTGTTCGGGCCACTCACTGAGTTCTCTGTTATTCATATTCAAACACATGGATACAGAGACCTGTCCTCTCTATGCCTCAGTCTCTCAACTATCAAATGGAGTTAATAACAGTGTCTGTCATTACTAGTGTTCCAAGGACAGGATAATGCATTTAAAGAGCTTAGTTTAGTTTCTGGGAGAATAATCATTTATTGAACATTTATTACTATTACTATGACCAATCACTGAGAGACTTAACCCTCAGAAACTCCAAGGTTCAGCTTCCTTTCTTCTACAATCAGTCTTCCAATGACTCCTCTCTTTTACGCAGTTAAATGAATGTATTAGGTAAATTAGCCATCTTTCTCTGTGACCAGAAAGTCTCCAGATTTGATATTTAAGCTATCTCTGAAACTTACATAAGGCAGGGCTTATTTCCCACATACAATAGGTTTAAAAAACTGGAGACTGAGGCTATAAAGGGATTGTTCAAGATCACATGGCTAATTTCATTCTACATTTTATGGAAGTTGGAATAAAGTCCAGGCTTCTCACCCTGTTCTGCAACACCCTGTTTGATCTGACCTGTCTGCCTCCCACCAGCCACATGGCCTTCCTTTCTGTTCCTTAAACATCCCACACCCTCTTCTACTCCAAGGCATCTGTTCTGTCTACTTGCTGTTCTGTTTACTTGCCGTCTTATTTGCCTGAAACTGCCTTGGTCTTTGCAGGGCTGTTTCCTTTCCATCCTGTGGACCCTAGGGAGAATGAGAGGTCATTCCCTAGTACCCTAATAATGGACTGACTTCCTAGACCAGGGGGTCTCTCTCACCTCCTCTACTGATGTCCTGCATATCTGTAATGATCTGCTCATTTGTTCATCTGTTTATTGATTGATTCTGGCTGGAATGTAAGCCTCCTAGAGGCAGGAACTTTGTTTTGTTTACCACCATAGTCCTAAAGTTAGAGGGGAAGGAAAGAGGAAGAAACTGAAACCCAAGAAAAAGTCTAGGCATCACACCTAGACAGACCTGAGTTCAAACCCCAGCTTTGCCATGTAACAATGTAAGGTACAGCAGCTCAGTTAACGGCTCAGTTTCTCATTGTCATCTCTGACAGGAGAATTACTTACTTACCTTATAGGGTTGCTGTCAACAGGACACGTGGTAACATATATAAAGGATGTAGCCCCATGCTGGGCACATTAAATACCCCATACATGCTTGTTCCTTCCTATGCTTACTCCTCTACCTCGCTTGCATTGGCTGCAATAGCACAGTGCTAGGCAAATTGTGTGTGACCAATTGACCCAGATAAGAAGAAATGAGTGGAATTAAATTCTTAGGGATCAGCCAGTTCTGCTCCTCTCAAAGCCACTCCAGCTCCCTACAAATTATGGTCTATTGATTTATCTGTAGATTGCAGGCAGTGTTAGCACCTACTGCATAGTGTTGCTGTGAGTATAAAATAAATATGTATTAACTGCTTAGAACAGTTCTGGCATATACTAAACTCTCAATAAATGTCTGTTATTATTATAATCTGTGTCTATGTGGACCAATATAAACAAATCTGATATTTACCATTATCAGTGAATGTCTTCTCCAAAACATACTAGAATCCATCACTGTCATCATCATTATCCTAACACCTTATGTTGGCAATGCACATTGTGTTAGGAATAACAGGATAGAGACAAGGGTTGGAGGAGGCAGTAAAGGAAGTGATACAATTGAAGCAAGTATTTGGGGGAAAGGGAAACCAAAACAGACCCCCAGCCTTGGACTCCCATTCTCTCTCAGTAAAGACCAAGTACAAGCGGTCTCAGTGGGTGTAAGTGGTAAATTAAGGCCCAGCCAAGGTCACCATGATGTCTATGGAGGCCAGGCTAAGGCTGTGCCATCCTGTGTGGCAGGAAAAGGGCCTGAAATGCTCACAGAGAACCTGATCTAAAGTGGACTCCAAGCTCAGGACTCTGAGGCCTGAACACAGGACTAAGGAAGCATAGGCATTAAAGGGCATCTCCCTTGGGGTCAGGCTGCCCTGGGTTCAAGTCCTATTCTGCCATGCACTCAGCATGTTCACTTGGCACAGTGTCTTAATGACTTGGAGCCTTTTTCTGTATGTAAAGCTTACAGAAAAGTGAAGCTACTAACTGTCCTTTCACCAGTTGCTGTGAGGATTCCTGATATAACATATTATATGCAGTGGGCACTTAATAAATGGTGGTTAACTAATAATAATCACAATACCAAACGCTTGTACCTTATGACATATGTTAGGGTTTGTTGTAAGTACTTTACAAATATAAATTGGTTTCGTCCATACAACACCCTGTGACAAAGGTGCTATTAATAAGAATAATGACAAAGATATAACTGCAAATATAAACAGCACTTTCCATACTATAAGCATTGTTTTAAACTTTACATATAGTAACTCCTACTCACAACAATCCTGTAAAGTACTATTATTGCCTCCACCATACAGATGAGGAAACTGAGGCAGGGATTGATGAACCTGCCTAAGGTTATCTGGCTAGTAATAGTAGAGCTGGGCTTCCACAGTACCTCTCAAAGGGTAAAGCTTCATGAACATCCTAGAGAAAGTTAAAGAACACTGTTGTCCTTCCTGTTTAAATAAGGAAACTGAGGCCCAGAGAAGTGAGGTGTCACATAGCTAGAAACCAGAGAACTAAATTTTCATTTCTTTCTGGGAATAATCATCCAACTGTAGCCTTTCCATTTCTGGTTCAGAACTATGTCCGCCCCACCAAGGTCCTTTCAACAATAAAATAAATTTGTAGAAACATATTCTAATTGTTCTTCTAAGTTGGGCTAACATCTCCTAAATGTGTAAATTTAAGAATTTAAGAGCTTCCTGGCGTTCTTCTGGAGACAAGAAAATATAGCTACGAGGACGCACCCTTGCGCCTGCGCTGTGTGTTCCTGGGCTGCGGCAGCCATGCTGAGCCCCTACGGACAGACGAGTTGGGGGACAGAGTCTACGACTGTGGGATAGGAGGCTGGGGATTTGGACAGCAGCAGCATTATAGCGCTCTGGGTTTCAGAACATAGGCCTTGGCCATGCGGAGCCCTTGGTCCCTTGCGCGACCCCCAGGAACGTTTGGAAAACCTGTCCTTGCCGCTGGAGGAGATTCGGGGGGGGGGCAGGAGGCACAAGACCCCGGTCAGCCAATCTGTGTGCTGCTGACATGGCAGCATGGCCGGATGTCTCCCCACTCCGCAGCCCGCTCTGGAAGGGAGGGCCTGGGGACTACGCCCTCTGCCCCAACATGGCTTCGTTTCCTGTCGGGGTGGGGGGTGACACCCCGGATTACATACCCTGTACCAAGCCAAGGACAACTTTGGAAGCCCCCTGTAAGGCTTTAGGATTCAGATTCTTCGCTGAAGCCACCCTACCACCAAGAACCACCACCCGCCCACGTGACCCCTCCCGTTTCCCTGCGGGTCTGGCCAATGGAGGAGCTACCAATGGCACGACCTGCTCAAGCTTGGCAGTTTCCAGTTGCGCTGTGTATGGAAGCCTGGGAAGACTGTTGGAAGGGGAAGCGGGAGAGGGTGCTGGAAGCACTGGGGTGATGGCTTCCGCACCCCTTCCAACCGCCCTCTGTCCCTGGAGTCCACGAACCACAGCTCAACCAACTGGCTTGGAGGTGTGACCGGTTGCCACTTCCCTGTGGGTCTCTGTGGCACTCTTCTGCCTGGTGACTGACACCTTGGAAATGAAGTTTATGATGTCATCGCTGCCACTGGCCAATAGAAAAAGCTCCCGCAGAGAGGTGTTCCTCCCCCACTGAGCTTCTTCATGCGCATGAGCGAGCGTAGGCGTGTGGAGGGGGTGGGGGGACTCTCAAGCAGGGGGCGCGCATGAGCGGCGAAGCCCCGCCTCTCTGCTTATATATAAAGGGCTGGCACGGGCCTCGGTGGCGCCATTTTACACTGGAGTGGAGCAGCTCGTAGAATCAGCTGGAAGATTCTGCCTACCAATACAGAGCCTTCGAGTCGTCTGGGGCCGCCATTCCTATCCACCTCCACGGGCTTGGAAATAACCTTCATCCCGGTCTATGACCCGTCCCAGTGGACAGTACAGACCCCATAGAAACTCCTGAAGCTGCTCTTTTCTAGCCCCTCCCAATCCTCGGACTCTGTCCACTCCTCTACTCTGCCCTCCAGAGGATTTCAAGGATAGAGGCGGCGGCTCCCTAAACCACTTGGCGTATTTATCCGCCTCCATCCGAGATCAAAACGGAACCTCGTCGGACCCATAGGGTCCCGACAGGAAGAGGGGATCCCTGCAGACTAACAGCGGGCCATATTGACGACGGTGTCTGAGATCAGGGACTGTCCTGTTTTGAAGAGTCAGTCCCTCCTTAGTCGCCCGCCTCAGCTGAAGCCGCCGCCATTTTCTTGCAGTCTGCTGTTCGCAGAGTGCGCCAAGCTGTCCGGAGTTCTCCACAAGGCCCCGAAGTCACTGCTTTCCTACTGGTGGGGAAGGGGTTTGTCACCTGGAGGGCCAAGAGCAACGGCCTCCCACCCACTTACCGGGTGATGCTGGACCCAGCCAGGCAGTGAGGGAAACTGAGGCCATCCAGACTTTCCGGGGCTGAGATGCTGCAAAACGTGAGTCCTCACAACAAGCTCCCTGGGGAAGGGAATGTAGGATTGCTGGGGCTGGGCCCGGAAGCAGCGGCTCCAGGGAAAAGGATTCGAAAGCCTTCCCCCTTGTATGAGGGATTTGAGAGCCCCACAATGGCTTCGGTGCCTGCTTTGCAACTGACCCCTGCCAACCCACCACCGCTGGAGGTGTCCAATCCCAAAAAGCCAGGACGAGTTACCAACCAGTTGCAATACCTACACAAGGTAGTGATGAAGGCTCTGTGGAAACATCAGTTTGCATGGCCATTCCGGCAGCCTGTGGATGCTGTCAAACTGGGTCTACCGGATTACCACAAAATTATAAAACAGCCTATGGACATGGGTACTATTAAGAGGAGACTTGAAAACAATTATTATTGGACTGCCTCAGAGTGTATTCAAGATTTTAATAGCATGTTTACCAACTGTTACATTTACAACAAGCCTACTGATGATATTGTCCTAATGGCACAAATGCTGGAAAAGATCTTCCTACAGAAAGTTGCATCAATGCCACAAGAGGAACAAGAGCTAGTGGTGACCATCTCTAAGAATAGCCACAAGAAGGGGGCCAAGTTGGCAGCACTCCAGGGCAGTGTTACCAGTGCCCATCAGGTGCCTGCTGTCTCTTCTGTGTCACACACAGCCCTGTATACTCCACCACCTGATATGCCTACCAGTGTCCTCAACATTCCCCACCCATCAGTCATTTCCTCTCCAACTCTCAAGTCCCTGCACTCCGCTGGACCCCCACTCATTGATGTTACTGCAGCTCCTCCAGCCCAGCCCCTTGCCAGGAAAGAAGGTGTAAAGCGGAAAGCAGATACTACCACCCCTACACCTACAGCCATCCTGGCTCCTGATTCCCCAGCTAGCCCTTCTGGGAGTCTTAAGCCTAAGGCAACACAGCTTCCCCCTATGCATAAAGAGAGTAGTCACCCCATCAGCCCCCCACGCAAAGACTTGCCTGACTCTCAGCAACAACACCAGAGCTCTAAGAAAGGAAAGCTTTCAGAACAATTAAAGCATTGCAATGGCATTTTGAAGGAATTACTCTCTAAGAAGCATGCTGCCTATGCTTGGCCTTTCTATAAACCAGTGGACGCTTCTGCACTTGGCCTGCATGACTACCATGACATCATTAAGCACCCTATGGACCTCAGCACTGTCAAGCAGAAGATGGAGAACCGTGATTACCGGCATGCACAGGAGTTTGCTGCTGACCTATGGCTTATGTTCTCCAACTGCTACAAGTACAATCCCCCAGATCACGATGTTGTGGCAATGGCACAAAAGCTACAGGATGTATTTGAGTTCTATTATGCCAAGATGTCAGATGAACCACTGGAACCAGGGCCTTTACCAGTCTCTACTGCCATGCCCCCTGGCTTGGCCAAATCATCTTCAGAGTCCTCCACTGATGAAAGTAGCAGTGAGAGCTCCTCTGAGGGAGAAGAAGAGAGTGAAAGCTCAGACTCAGAGGAAGAAAGGGCTCATCGTTTGGCAGAACTGCAGGAACAGCTTCGGGCAGTACATGAACAACTGGCTGCTCTGTCCCAGGGTCCAATATCCAAGCCCAAGAGGAAAAGAGAGAAAGAAGAGGAAAAGAAGAAACAGAAGGCAGAGAAGCATCGAGAACAAGCTGGGGCTGATGAAGATGACAAGGGGCCTCAGGCACCCCACCCACCTCAGCCCAAGAAGTCCAAGAAAGCAAGTGGCAGTGGAGGTGGCAGTACTGCTTTAAGCCCTTCTGGCTTTGGACCTTCTAGAGGATATGGCACCAACCTCCCCAAAAAGGCCACAAAGACAGCCCCACCTGCCCTGCCTATAGGTTATGATTCAGAGGAGGAAGAGAGCAGGCCCATGAGTTACGACGAAAAGTGGCAGCTGAGCCTGGACATCAACAAATTACCTGGAGAGAAGCTGGGCCAAGTTGTGCACATAATCCAAGCCAGGGAGCCCTCTTTACGTGATTCAAACCCAGAAGAGATTGAGATTGATTTTGAAACACTCAAGCCATCCACACTTAGAGAGCTTGAGCGCTATGTCCATTCCTGCCTACGTAAGAAACCCCGGAAGCCTTATACCATTAAGAAGCCTGTGGGAAAGACCAAGGAAGATCTGGCTTTGGAGAAAAAGCGGGAATTAGAAAAGCGGTTACAAGATGTCAGCGGACAGCTCAATTCCACTAAAAAGCCCCCCAAGAAAGCAAGTGAGAAAACAGAGTCGTCCTCTGCACAGCAAGTAGCAGTGTCACATCTCAGCGCTTCCAGCTCCAGTTCAGATTCCAGCTCCAGCTCAGATTCCAGCTCCAGCTCAGATTCCAGCTCCTCCTCTTCATCATCGTCTTCTTCAGACACCAGTGAATCAGATTCAGGCTAAGGGGCCAGGCCACATGGCGCAGGAAGGCTCCGCAGGACCGGACCCCTAGACCACCCTGCCCCACCCACTCCTTTCCCCTTTGCTGTGACTTCTTCATCCTACCCCCTTGCCCCCTCTAAGAGAGCTGGCTCTGCAGTGGGGGAGGGATAGAGGGACATTTACTGAAGGAGGGACATGGATAAAATAAGATTGAATTCTCATGAGGCCCCATTGGGGAATGATCTCTTGGACACAGACCCCCCATTCAAAATGACTGGGGCAGGGCAAGGGGGTACAGGGTGGAAGTGTGCAAAGCCCCTGATCTGGAGTTACCCGAGGCCACAGCTGCCCTGTTTGTTCACTTATAAGGGCCCTGTTTTGAGGTTGTTTGTTCTAATTTATTTTAAGCTAGGTAAGGCTGGGGGGAGGGTGGGACCATGGTCCCCTCAGCCTCCATGGGGAGGCAAGAAGGAGGAGCTTTTTTTTACATTGACATTTTTTTTCTACTCTTGTTTGCCCTTTTCCTTCGCTCCATTTGGGGCCCTGGGGGTTTCAGTCATCTCCCCATTTGGTCTCCTGGACTGTCTTTGTTGATTCTAACTTGTAAATAAAGAAAATATTATTTAAAAAATATATATATAGCTATGTGAGACTTGGACATTTTTTTTTTAAGCACAGTGTTAAAGAGCAACTTTATGTGCCCTGATCATTAAAATCAACAAAATGCATTTGACTCAAAACAGGACGTAGTTGAACAAAAATGGGTCTTCAGTCATTTGGAAATGCTAACATGCTGACTGCCTGATTAAACACAATTTGTATTGTCAATAAAAAATGCAAATGGCTACTTTACTGGCAAATACAGCATTAGACTTTGCTTGATATGAGGATTAAATTGCATTTCAAGAGCAATTCAGGAGGTCAAATTAAAAATGAACATCCCCTTTCATTGTCCTTAGGTTCTGGAGGCCAGGATAGGAAATACAATAACAAAAATAATTTCCTGCCACTATGTGCCATTTCAGTTAAAATAAAATTCATGCCAGTTTTGTGTAGTGGAGAATAATATTTAAGCCCCCAAATGGGTCCTGTAATTTAGTGCATAATTCCTTGAAATTTACATGGCATACCCCCACTCATCTGAATCAACTGATAAACTCTCTTTTATTTGTATTAAAGAAAATAGGGATTAAAAGGTCAAGACTCCACATAGTGTAGATACCGAAAGCGTGGGCACCATTTTAAGACCTTTTAGTCAGTCTGGCCCAGAGCTAAATCAAGTACACAGGAATTATGTTTCACTGCAAATATTCTCTGGTTACAAATAGGAATAAGACATGCATTTTGAATCCCACAGAAAAATATGGAACCACAGATGTTGCTTTTGAGCATCTTTATTTCTGAAATTACAAATAATCGTTGTTGGCATCTGCAAGTAGAAAAACTAAAAAAGCAAAGAAATACCTCATCACTATATTATGATGTGATAAAACCTCAGGATGGCAGGCAGCCGGCATTAACGCAGTTGTGCATTTACATTCAGAGATGCACGTCATTTTGGTTAAACATCATTGCCCAATTTTCAAAAATTCCCCTCGTTATTTTTTCTCCACATTTTTCCCATTAACTTCAAGTAAGACAAGTTTATACAACCTCTAATACCTTGTTATAGCTATTGTCGTTTTCTTTCTGAAGGCTGGAATGTATTTCCAGAGCTGTTGGTAAACACGTCTAATCCAAGAAGAAATTAAAGAGACACTCTGATTGCATGGGATGAATAAACAGAGAACCAAATAAAAGGGTTTGGTTTAACTGACATTGTTTGGCAATTTAGGCAAAATTTGGATTTAGAAAACATTGAAATAAAAAATGGACTAGAAATAGGTATAATGCAGCTCAAATAAGCTAATGTTATTAGGGGATTCTGAACAACTTCTTCGGAACTCACAGCAACACTAGGAAGGAGAGCTCTACGTGCTTGCATACCAACTCAGGTATTCGATACAACACCTCAGGTAGGTGCATGTCACCCTTTTTACAAACGAGGTATGCAGGATTTAAGTAATTTGTACAAGATCATGCAGCAGGTGTGGCTTCTGAATCTGAGCTCTTAACCATAACATTATTCTGCCACTTAATCCAAATGTTACCTCTCTATGTCTACCCTATTGATTACAGTAATTGTCCTAAGCAATCCGTATTTGTTATTTATATGTGTTTTAAGTATCCAGATAGATGTCACTTCCCCATTTTACAGAAAGGAAATAGACTGCTCAAGGTCCCCCTCCCAGCATGTAGCATGGCAGGATTGGAATTCTAAAGGCAACCTTCTACACAGTATTGCCTCCCCCTCCCCAGCATCATTCCCTCTAGGTAGTGCTCACAAACAGGCAGTGTGTTATCCACTCACTCTTAAATGACACCGATTCTCCAACTGTTCAGTGTCCTGGGTCTCAGTGCTTGGCACCTAAGCATTTGAATATCAATGGCACTGAATGTCTACCTAAAATCCAAACCTCTCACCAGCCACACAGCTAAACTCTCCTGCAAGCCACCATCCCCTTCCTCATGGACTACTGCAACAGCCTTCTAGCTGCAGTCTCTGCTTCTTCTCAGACTTCCCTACAATTTTCAAAACAGAATCCAGATTCTTTTATGATATAAAGCTCTCTATGAACTTCCCACCTGATTCCCTTTATTTCTCTGACCACCTCTCTTGGTGCCCTGTTCCAGGCACACCAGCCTCCTCATGATCTTTCAAACACACAGGGCTCACCCCTGCCTTTGTATCTGCTGTTCCCACTGCCCCAAGGCTCATAAGACTCAACTCCTGCATTCACCTTGGGACCTTTGCTCAAGCGCCACTTTCTTAGGGAAGCCTTCCCCAATTTCCCTATTGAAAATTACAAACCTCACCCTCTGTACTCTCAACATCTCTCCTATGCTTTTTTCCTGAACACTTTATAATGTACCCTGGAATTTACACATTTCTTGTGCTTAGTGTGCAATTCTCCCAACTATAACATAAATCCCATGATGACAGAGACTGGTTAGTTTACTGCTCTATCTTCAGCATATAGAAGAGCAGCACCTGGTGAGACAGCAAGCATTTATGAATGTTTGTGCCAGTCAGTGAATGAAGAAAGAATGAAGGGCATCCTCCCACTGCGGGGGCTTCCCTGCATATCTACAACAGGCCAGTGGCACCTGTGTTCCAATAGAAAGTTCCAGAACACCAAGATCTCCTTCCTTTCTTCCTTCTCTTTTCTTTTTCTTGCTCCTTCCTTCCTTTTCTTTCCCCTTCCTTACTTGTCTTCTTCCCCTTTCCCTCTCCTCCACCCTCTCCCCTTCCCTTTCCTCCTCCTTCTCTTCCTCCTCCTCCTCTTCTCTCTTTTTGCCCAGGACAGAGTGCAGTGGTGAAATCACAATTCACTGCAGCTTCAACTTCCCAGGCTCAGGTGATTCTTCCACCTCAGCCTCCAGAGTAGATGGGACTACAGGTGCACACTACCATGCCTGGCTAAATTTTGCATCAGTAGAGATGGGGTTTTACCATGTTGCCCAGGCTGGTCTTCAACTCCTGGGCTCAATAGGTCTGTCTATCTCAGCCTCCCAAAGTGCTGGGATTACAGGAGTGAGCCACCACACCCAAACTCATGCTCTCTTATTCTCTCTTTTCCCTCCGTCTCCATCTCCCTTCTTTGCTTCCTGGAAAGACAGAGTTTGCCTGAAAAATCTAAATCCTCTAACATAATAAGGGACACAGAGACCTCATGTTCATTTTAGATGGTAGCTGTGAATGTATGTATTAAGAAACAATAGGTATTGTCCTTCTTTTGCACTGGTCAGACTCAATATCTATCTGGTAGCCTGAACCCAAGGATACAAGGCTATTTTTATGCAAGTTTCTGTTCAAAATGTGGAAATAAGCTGACATCAAATATAACCTTTTAGAAGCTAATGGATGTTACTAAACACATATATAATATCTATTTCTCCTTAGTACTGGGCAGTAAGTTGGAGCTCCATGAAGTTCATAACTCTTCATGTGATTATTGTTCAGGATGTGACAGTGGAAAAACCACAGTCGTATGTACAGTTATGGCCCTGCCCATGACAGAATCAGGGGCCCCAAGTCATCTTGGCTCTGTTATCTCAACTAATAAGGTTACCAAGAATTCCTACTTCCTGACTTTACTGAGAGGAACAAATGAAGAAATGCATGTGTAAGAACTTTGTAAGTTCTAAATATTTAGAAGCTCTAAGTTCTAAGGCTAAGTTGCTTACCTTTTTTAAGCCTCTGCTCCCTCATTTGTAAAACAGGGATAAGGAATAGTTCACTGTTGAATGACGATCAGATGAGAGAAGGCACATATCAAAGCCTGACACACGGTTCCTGCTCAGAACATGTCTGTTACTGTAATGTTACTGCTCACTTCCTTCTTACTGACTTAGGAAAATAACATGGCTTCTTTCTTTACATGTTTAATACATTGTTTTCAAAGCCTTTAGTGAAGCAGTCTGTTACATTCCTATTACTAAATTGCTATTTCTAAATGCAGACTTAAGAATGTAAAGTGGAAATAGAAGTGATTACAGACCAATGATTTCAAGCTGACACATTAATTGAACTGGTGTGTTTAAGGTCCTAACAGTCTCATTTTAAAAAGTCACCTTTTAATCAAAATCCAACCAGTATTTGCTGAACATACACTATGTGCACACTACCATATTAAATTCTTTCAAGTATTATAATTAGAAATACAAGTTGAATTAAAAAATTAATATACAATCCCATGTAGTTGCCCTCACAATATAGTTATGACAAAATGACACTTAGTACCAAAAAGTTAAGCATGAACAAAAGGTTCCAATGTTTAAGCAGTAGATATGTTACTCTGAAGCATCACTTAATTAATTTCGAAGTCATTGCCAGGGAAGCAGAGCTTGGGAGGTTTGTGGAGATAGCGGAGACCACGCAGGGTCTAAGATGGTTTGGATTCATTCAAAGGATTCATCCTGTGACGAAAATTTCGGATGCTGGTCACTCAAACCTGTTTAGAAGATACTAGGGAGCAGAAGCAAAATCTCGACGGCTGTCAAGTTACCCAAGTAGAAGGGGTTTTACTAATAAGGCATTATTGCAAGCTTACCCTCATCAGGTTCATTTGCAAGTGGGAAGCAAAGATAACACCTCTTAGTTGACTTAAACTCTTCTCCAGAAAGAGAAAACACCAAAGGAAAATGCAGATCACCGAATTCTGGAAATCCTAATATAGAACTAAGACAAATTAATGCTTTTACACAAGTTCATTCTTCTTGATTACATTTAAAAGCCTGTTGTCAATTTGCATGTGTTCTGTGTTGGAAAATATGCACTCTGGATCTAATGAGGAGAAAACTGAAAATCCATTCTGCTGCATGGCTTGGGAAAATCTCTGCATTGGTATGTCATGGCCTGTAAAGTCTGTCTATCAGATACACTGTACTTGAATTGATGGGGCAGCCATCTGTATTGATTTGTGCAGCCACTGTGGAAACGCAGCCACTGTAACCATTTGCTAGGCTATGTGGAGACACAATCTACATTTGCTTCAATTCCTTTGGAGGATGCCGTGTGCAAAGTATATCTGGCTAGCCCAGGTCAATGTCTAACAATAGGTAACATTTATTGACTATCAGTCCTGTGCCTGGCCTCAAAGTGTTGAAGCACATACTGTGTCACTTATTCTTCACTACCAACCAGCCTGGGTGTGTGTACTCCGAGGAAGCCGAAGTACAGAGTTTCGATGGATACAGAAGTTCTCATTGCTAGTAAACAGGACCATGTGATACTAGCACCTCGTC